CCCCAAAACCCCAAAACCCCAAAACCCCAAAACCCCAAAACCCCGAGTTAGGAATAGCTTGTTGAATTAATGGAGATTAACTAATATCAAAACTTTATCTTTTAATCAAAGTCAGATCCATGGTCTTAGCTTCTTCAAGATCTTGCCCATGGTTAGCAACAGTGGGAAACACCTCGCACAGTTCTTCAAACTCTGAGATGCTATACTTCTCAAAGAAATCTTTGATAGCTCTGTTACACAAGATTTTATGCAGGATTTCCATATTTATATCATCATTGTCCTTATCCCATCTCTCATCAATCTCTCCAATTTCAATGAGATTAAAAGGACATCTATTCGGGTTAGTTTCCCAATCTGTATTATGCATGCCAATGCTTCCGTACGGATTAGATTTATCAAGGTCTGCTTCTTTTTTACCACAGAAATAGCACCAGTTAGTAGAACAATGACCGCATGTCATGTGTGTGCACCCATAATCTTTTCGGCCTCCCTTCCCGCAACCAGGGCAAACTCTCATGACGCCTAACTGCGTTGCTTTGTCCCAGTCTGCTTTCATATCTTTATACTCGAGGCATCTTTGGTGAGTGAGCATGCCTCCTTCAGAGTACATTTCTTCGTATTCCTCTTCAGAAACCGCAAAACTCTTGGGAGCCTATCAGAATTATATCCCCTCTTAGCTTCCAACTTTGGGCAGGAAGAAACTGCCCGAGCCAAAGATGGATTTAGTGAAGAATTTTATGATATAAAAATTTTAGAAAAATTTAGGTGAGAAGACTAAGTTTTTAGGTTTTAGAGAAAGGAAAGTTGGGGAGGATGGTAATTTAGGGCCTTGGTGTAGTGGTTGAGGTGTGACGTTAGGTTTAGAATGGAGAGAAGGGCCTTTTAGAGCTTACTTTAAATTCTCTATGGCATATTGCACAACTTGCTTTCTTGCAGGCTTCAGCTCTGCAGTAGAAGTAATTGCAGTCATTTTCAACTCCCCAAACTTCAGCATATTTGCAGAAAGGACAGCTTACTAAAACTTCTTCTGTTGGATCGATTGATTTATTTAATCTATTTTAAAATTAGTATACAAGAAAAATAGAAATTAACAATTTAGAATAAGATAAAGTTATTCATGGATGACAATGGTGAGTGAACAAAAGTTAAATGCGAGTTGAATGAATTTTAATGAAAACAGAAAGCCCATCTCCTGTAAATAAAAGTAAGATGTTGTTTAAAGTTCACAGCGTATTGGTAGTAACTCTAGTATCATTGCTGATATTTAATGAAAAATCTAGATAAAACAAGGGATTTTGATTTGTGAATAAACCATCAATTAATTCTTCGTAAATTTAGCTTAAGAAGAGTATACAACGATCATAGAAGAATATTTTATCAATTACAGTTCAAAGAACCCTTGTTTTAGTTTAGTTTTTGATACAAATTCAAAAGTGATAATACTTTTCGATCTAAAGTCATAGTTTAAACTAGCTGCTCAGAGATACTGCTAGTTCTCAAGCATAATTCGAGCAAGATTTCAGTTATATAAATGCTTAGCTTATTGGTTAATTGCTATTTTCAGAGATCGATATTGGGAAATAAATCATCATATTCTAAACAGAGATAGACTATGATCAAAAGATCATGCTAACACTTTATGAAGATTGGTATTTTATAAAAAGATCGGTATAATTCAACAAAAATTCAACCTTCTAAAAAAATTCAATAAAATAGTCAGGAAAATCAAAATCAAAGATAAGCAAAATTAGACTAAAAATATCGAATTCTGACTTACTAAATGCTTCTGGTAAATCTTATCTTGGCCAGGAGCCAAATGCATTTCAATTTGAGCTGAGTTGAGTTCAACTGTGCATATCTTACATTTGGCAGGAATTTTAGTTTGAGGGTCTCATAAAAGATCATCAATAAGTTCAACTCAACAGTCAGGACAAGTATGGTGATCCTGAGCACATGTAATACCACCATGAGTTCTTTTTATCTCGCTTAGACAAACGGAGCAATCAACAGGCCCGTCTTTTTTGAAGGAGTCCATTTTAATATATCAAAGACAACCTTTTCTAGGCTTTATGGGGTTTTGGGGTTTTGGGGTTTTGGGG